GGGGTGCCCCCCCACTGGCCCCTGGGCTTGGGTTTCACCCGTGAAGGCCAAGGAGAGAAGCTGGAGGCTGGCCCAGCTGCTGGGCTGCCCTGAGGGCAACGACACGGCCCTAGTGGGCTGCCTGCAGGGCCAGGAACCGGAGGCGTTCCCCAAACACGAGTTCTCTGTCTTGCAATATGGCGATCTGACAGGGATGCCCTTCGCGCCCACGCCGGATGGGGATTTCCTCCTCGACACCCCGCCCCACCTCCTGGAGGCCAGGGGAGGCTGGCCCAGCTGCTGGGCTGCCCTGAGGGCAACGACACGGCCCTAGTGGGCTGCCTGCAGGGCCAGGAACCGGAGGCGTTCCCCAAACACGAGTTCTCTGTCTTGCAATATGGCGATCTGACAGGGATGCCCTTCGCGCCCACGCCGGATGGGGATTTCCTCCTCGACACCCCGCCCCACCTCCTGGAGGCCAGGTACCTCCGGCGTATGCCCATCCTGACCGGCGTCACCGCCAACGAAGGCTCCTACTTGCTCAGCTCCAGCCTTCCCAGCCTCCACCTGGAGAACGCCAGCACCATCGGCCCGGAGCAGCTGATGCAGGTGGCGAGGTTGGTGGTGCCAGGGGCCCCAGAAGAGGCCATCCGGGCCGTGGCGCAGCAGTACAGCGAGCAGGGGGCGAATCAGGGTGAGGCCCGGTACCGATGGGCCATGGAACAAATCCTTGGCGACTACTTCATCGTGTGCCCGGTGGCCGAGGTGGCCGGGAAAGCGGCAAAGGCCGGAAGCCCCGTGTACGCCTACTACTTCACCCACCGCAGCAGCACCTTGACTTCCGCTGCCTGGACTGGGGTACCCCACAGCTCCGAGCTGCTCTTCACTCTGGGGTCGTACGCACACGGAGGCCGAGGCGGGGCTGCGCCGCAGGGTGATGCGGTACTGGGCGACCTTCGCCAGGAGCGGGTAAGGGAATCCCCCAGCATCCTCTTGTGCCGTACGCCTACTACTTCACCCACCGCAGCAGCACCTTGACTTCCGCTGCCTGGACTGGGGTACCCCACAGCTCCGAGCTGCTCTTCACTCTGGGGTCGTACGCACACGGAGGCCGAGGCGGGGCTGCGCCGCAGGGTGATGCGGTACTGGGCGACCTTCGCCAGGAGCGGGTAAGGGAATCCCCCAGCATCCTCTTGTGCCCCCGGAGCCAGACTGCAAAAGCTGCTGTCACTCTTCAGCCAGGAAACCACAAGAGCTAGGAACACCCGGTTCAAAGCTCGGGCAAGGAATTGGGTCTCTTTGAAAAGCAGATAATCTGTAAGGTTGAAGCCCCCGACTGAGAGCTAAAATTCCCTCCCCAGGCTGTTGACCCCACAAACACACCTATTCTCATTCCAGGAAAAATGGTGTTTAGTGGGTAGCCAGAGATCTCGAAGCTTGGCCCACCCTTCCACTCACACATTCAGGGGATGTCCATGCTACAGACACTATAACACAATGCTCCCTCTAATTTTTTCCATCCTTGTGGGGAATAAATTTTGTTATGTGCACCAAGACATGTGCAGATATGCACCACCAATAGGCACACATGCTGCCAGCTGTGGGCACTGTGGGTGCTCTGCCAATCAGCTGGGGGCACCTGAATCTCCCCTCAGTGGCCTCCCAAACACCCAGCTTACAGGGAATATTGCTACGGCACCCTTGCTAGACCGGGTCCACCCCATAGTACAGACGTGACCTACCTTGAGAGAAGGGGCTTTTCCATCGGTGTCGTAGGGTGGTTGGCAACCTGTGGCCAGGTCCATCGAGGTTCTATGTGTGGCCCATGAGGATAGGGGGGTCTGGGCAGGAGGAGGGGTGCAGGAGAGGGCTGGGCGTGGAGGTTCTGGCTGGGAAGTTGAGTGCAGAAGCAGGCAGGGGTGGAGGGCCTGGGCAGGAGGTGGGGTGCAGGAGAGGGCTGGGCGTGGAGGTTCTGGCTGGGAAGTTGAGTGCAGAAGCAGGCAGGGGTGGGGGGTCTGGGCAGGAGGAGGGGTGCAGGAGAGGGCTGGGCGTGGAGGTTCTGGCTGGGAAGTTGAGTGCAGAAGCAGGCAGGGGTGGGGGGTCTGGGCAGGAGGTGGGGTGCAGGAGAGGGCTGGGCGTGGAGGTTCTGGCTGGGAAGTTGAGTGCAGAAGCAGGCAGGGGTGGGGGGTCTGGGCAGGAGGTGGGGTGCAGGAGAGGGCTGGGCGTGGAGGTTCTGGCTGGGAAGTTGAGTGCAGAAGCAGGCAGGGGTGGGGGGTCTGGGCAGGAGGTGGGGTGCAGGAGAGGGCTGGGCGTGGAGGTTCTGGCTGGGAAGTTGAGTGCAGAAGCAGGCAGGGGTGGGGGGTCTGGGCAGGAGGTGGGGTGCAGGAGAGGGCTGGGCGTGGAGGTTCTGGCTGGGAAGTTGAGTGCAGAAGCAGGCAGGGGTGGGGGGTCTGGGCAGGAGGTGGGGTGCAGGAGAGGGCTGGGCGTGGAGGTTCTGGCTGGGAAGTTGAGTGCAGAAGCAGGCAGGGGTGGGGGGTCTGGGCAGGAGGTGGGGTGCAGGAGAGGGCTGGGCGTGGAGGTTCTGGCTGGGAAGTTGAGTGCAGAAGCAGGCAGGGGTGGGGGGTCTGGGCAGGAGGTGGGGTGCAGGAGAGGGCTGGGCGTGGAGGTTCTGGCTGGGAAGTTGAGTGCAGAAGCAGGCAGGGGTGGGGGGTCTGGGCAGGAGGTGGGGTGCAGGAGAGGGCTGGGCGTGGAGGTTCTGGCTGGGAAGTTGAGTGCAGAAGCAGGCAGGGGTGGGGGGTCTGGGCAGGAGGTGGGGTGCAGGAGAGGGCTGGGCGTGGAAAGCCTCCAGGCAAGCAGTTTCCTGCCCTGCCATTTCTCCAGCTGGGAGGAGGGGGAGTGACAGCGTGTGGAGCTGCTTCCTCTCCCCACAAGCTAGAACTGGCCGGCCAGGCTTGGGGTTCCCCCTACAACGGGGGAGCGCCAGTATGGTCTCCTCACTGCGGGGAAGGGGTAAACCCCGTGTCCATGGGCCACTTACAAAACATCTATCAAGAATCCTGCGGCTTCAGTCTCCAGAACAACAAGAGACACCAGCCATCTTTATAAAGGGCAACCTGAGGCATCACCCCGTGTGAGACGGAGCGGCAACGGTAGCCATCTTAACTGAGGGCAGCCTGTGAGGTGAACAGGAGGCAGTGGCCATCTTAACTGAGGGCAACCTGGGGCTTCAATTTCCAGGACTAACCATAGCAGCCATCTTTATAAAGGGCTACCTGAGGCATCAACCCGTGTGAGACAGAGCGGCAACGGTAGCCATCTTAACTGAGGGCAGCCTGTGAGGTGAACAGGAGGCAGTGGCCATCTTAACTGAGGGCAACCTGGGGCTTCAATTTCCAGGACTAACCATAGCAGCCATCTTTATAAAGGGCTACCTGAGGCATCAACCCGTGTGAGACAGAGCGGCAACGGTAGCCATCTTAACTGAGGGCAACCTGGGGCTTCAATTTCCAGGACTAAACATAGCAGCCATCTTTATAAAGGGCAACTTGTAGCATCACCCCTAGGGTGTGTCTAGACTACATGGCTACATCGACAGAAACGAGGCTTACAGGATCTGCCGGCAAAGGGTTCTGGGGTCGGCAGATCCCCATCTAGACTGCCACGCTGTGCTGCCAAACAGCTGATCGGCGCAACATGGCGGCCATTTTGATGTAAATGAAGCGGCGATTATTTAAACCGCCGCTTCATTTCCCTTTGCCGAGTAAACTCATCTACATGGCTCTGTCGACGGAGCCGTGTAGTCTAGACACACCCCTAGTGAACAGCCTGGGTGGCAGCAGCCATCTTAACTGAGGGCAGCCTGCAACTTCACTCTCCCTGGGACCAGCAAAGGATGGTAGTCATTTTGGAAAAGGATAAACTGTGGCCCGGCTGACCCCTGGGTCTGGGAGGTCAGACTGCAATGGCAGTACGTTCCTATCTCTGCTCAGGCAGTACGTTCCTATCTCTGCTCAGGCATGGGATGAATCTCTGTGGGGCATGTTGAGTGTCTCTCTCCCCAGGCACCCCACAGAGGCAGGGAACAGCGAGGAGCAGTGGCCCCGCTATGTCCCCAGGAAGGAGAACTTCTTCCACATCGGCATGAAGACTCCCCAGGTCGAGGTGCCATCGCCTGCCCGGCGCTGCCGTTTGTTGGCGTGGCTGCTGAAGAAATCCACAAGGGAGCATCAGTGAGGTGAGAGGAAGGCGGCTGTGGAGGGGACAGACCCTCTGTTTTGCCCCACACCTCTGAGCCAGCCAGTGTCTGCCCCCTGCCCTCCCGGGGCTGGATTGGAGCTGGTCCCCTGTCCTCCTACCTCCTCTGAGCCAACCAGTCCCCTCTCTAGATCAGAGCCAGCACCCCCAAAAGGGGAAGGACCTCATATACGACTCCCTTCTTCCCCTGGGGACATGACATGCCACTGTAACTTTAGCGCCCGCCTGGCAAAGACGGTGTCTTCTCTGATGGCCAAGAGAAGGAGCACATGGGACTGCAGTGGGAAATGTTGGGGGGCCCGTGCACACTTGTGACACAGGCCCCCTCCCACACATATACCACGATTTGCAACCAGAGCCAGTCCCTGGTAAACTGTACCCTCCTCTCCCCATGTGGGGGCCCTGCCTTATACCCCAGGGGCACCTGTTCCAACCCCTGAATTCACACCCACCCAAAAAGCACAATGAACATAAGAGAGGGAAATATTTAGTTACGGCAGGGTGATACGAAGCTGGGAGGGGTTGCAAGTGCTCTGGAGGAGAGGGTCAGACATCAAAATGATCTGGACAAACTGGAGAAATGGACTTAGGTAAGCAGATGCCATTTAATAAGGACAAATACAAAGTGCTCCACTTAGGAAGGAGCAATCCGTTATAGAATGGGAAGTGATTGTCAAGGAAGGAATCTTGCAGAAAGGGATCTCGGGGTCAGCATGGACCACAAGCTAAATATTAGTCAACCGTGTAACACTGTTGCAAAAAAAGCAAACAGGATTCTGGGCTGCGTTATCAGGAGTGTGATGAGCAAGACACAAGAAGTCATTCTTCCGCTCTCTGTTGATTCGGTCTCATTAGGCGTATTGTGTCCAGTTCTGGGTTCCACGTTTCAAGAAAGATGTGGAGAAATTGGAGAAGGTCCAGAGAAGAGTAACGAAAATGATGATGAAGGTCCAGAGAAGAGCAACGAAAATGATGATAGGCATAGAAAATATGAGCTATGAGGGAAGACTGAAAGAATTAGGCTTGTTTAGTTTAGAAAAGAGAAGACTAAGAGGCTACGTCTAGACTGGCATGATTTTCCGGAAATGTTTTTAACGGAAAAGTTTTTGCGTTAAAAGCATTTGCGGAAAAGAGCATCTAGATTGACATGGATTCTTTTCCGCAAAAGCACGTTTTGCGGAAAAGCGTCCGTGGCCAATCTAGACGCGCTTTTCCGCAAAAAAGCCCCGATCGCCATTTTCGCGATCGGGGCTATTTTGCGGAAAACAAATCTGAGCTGTCTACACTGGCCCTTTTGCGCAAAAGTTTTGCGCAAAAGGACTTTTGCCTGAACGGGAGCAGCATAGTATTTCCGCAAGAAGCACTGATTTCTTACAGTAGGAAGTCAGTGCTTTTGCGGAAATTCAAGCGGCCAGTGTAGACAGCTGGCAAGTTTTTCCGGAAAAGTGGCTGATTTTCCGGAAAAACTGGCCAGTCTAGACACAGCCAGAGAGTACAGGAGAGCAGTTTTCTAGTGTCTAAAATGGTTTTACATGAAGGAGGGAGAAAAATTGTTCTCTCTGGCCTCTGAGGATAGGACAAGAAGCAAGGGGCTTAAACTGCAGCAAGGGAAGTTTAGGTTGGACATTAGGAAAATCTTCCTGTCAGGATGGTGAAACATTGGAATAAGTTGCCTAGGGAGGTTGTGGAATCTCCATCTCTGGAGATATTTAAGAACAAGCTAGATAGACATCTGTCAGGGATGGTTGACTCTAGATAGTGCTTGGTCCTGCCATGAGGGCAGGGGACTGGACTCGAGGTCCCTTCCAGTTCTAGTGTTCTGTGATGCTATGAGAGGAAAAAAACAATAAAGGGG